TCTCTAAAAATTTTTTATTAAAAAGCAAAAAAAAAAAAAAAATGGGAAAAAGTTGCTGTTGGTCGATTTCCTGATAAAATCACTTTTTTTTTCTTTCTTTCCCCCCTCCTCGTTCCCCGCTTCTCATACCTTTTTCTTACTCTGTTCCTATTTTCCTCTGTTTTCGATTTACTTCTGAACAGTTTGAATTGATTTTGTTACCTTCTTTTTATTAATCATAATTTGAAATATAATTTTTTTTTCGTTTTATTATTTTGCTTTTGATGAACATAAAAAAGTTTTATTTTATAATAAATAATGAATCTTTTTTTTTTTTAAATTTACGTTTGAAAAAAAAGTTACTTTGGTTTTACAAATCTCTTTTGCCTAATTGTTGTTCTTTATTCTATCTGTCATATTAGTCTTCTGCTTGTTTTTTTTTTCCATTTCTTTATTTACTCGAATATTTGTTTTTCCTTATTTTTTTTTTGGTGTTTTTATCTGTTTTACATTCTTTTTTTGCTTACTTTTTACCTTGTGTTTTACATCATTATTGCTGTTGTTATTATTATTGTTGTTATTACATTGATTGTTATTATCTTTTAGTTTTTTTTTTACCTTTATTAACATCTTAAAGAGCGAAATAGCCTGTTTTATTTCAGTCTGTATCAGTAAGTTTGATCGCTTAGAAATCATGAACATGAGACACTGTTGAAGTGAACACACTTTTTTCTTGCGACGGTTATAACAACAGTGTAACTAAATTACAACTGCAGATGACTGAAAATGTTTCAGGATGGATGAAACTGCTTCCGCGGTCTGTGGCGTCTGTGGAGATGCCAGCGATGGCCAACATTTTGGGGCCGTCGCCTGCCGAGCTTGTGCAGCATTTTTTCGACGATCCACGGTAACCGATCGCAAATATACCTGTCGATATAACAACAATTGCCCAATTGGACGTGGTAACTGTTTGAGTGCTAATCCTATCATAAAATTGTTTGGAAAAAAAGCAATTATTGCTGCAAACAACCTTTGATATATACAGAAATACCCAAGAAGTCTCAACGTATGTCATAAATGCAATTTAATCATCAATAGCTTAGTTAATGACCTGTTCTGCCTGAAAAGTTCTTGCCTATTATTGGTTACACACATTTATAAAATTGTTACAGATGTTCGATGTATGTGTCGGGCATGCCGTTTTCGAAAATGTGTCGAATTGGGCATGAATGCAAAAAGTTGGTTTATATCACTTCTCGCTGTTTCAACGTTTCTCTTGGTGAAATACCCACAAAAGTATTTTCACGTGTTTTAACCGGTAGCTTCACCGTCAATTCTTCCCAGTATATTTTTGTGTGTCCTGATTGTGTCGCCTGAGTGTGGGCTTCGTTCGCTAATTTAGGCGTTCAAAGAAATAGGGACGGGCTTGGTTCCCGATCTGAACGAAAAGCAATAAAGACAACTGAGCCAGCAACTTTACCGCCATATTTAACACCACCATCGTCATTCCCAATGGCCGACGTAAAACCTAGTATTCAAAATTCACCTATTGAGACTCCAGTTGCTCTTCCGACGCCTGTGATAACACAGATACTTGATACTGCTGGACCTCAGGTTACAAAGCCTGTCTTTCGCCAAGCGGCTACTGAAGCTACCTAAATTATTATTCAAAATTTCGCTGTTGTATGCCTTCAAAATAATATTGATTCCGAACCAAATTCTTTCTATGCAAATTCAGTAATTTCACTAACTATTTTTATAAAAATAATTATTCTCCAGTTACCGCTTCTTGAAAACTGTTCTGTGGACCTTCCACTGGTTAGCCGAGCTTTGGCTGGTTACAGAAAATTAGTGGAGGACCGAAAGACACGAAAAATTTTACAACCTGGGCCTCATGTGCTTAAACTTTTCGGAGAGAAATTAGTAAGTAATTTTGTATATTTCTCTTTTTTTTGTTATTTTTTGAACATTATTCAAATATTGTTTGGGTAGAAAATTTTTGATTCAAAAAATAAAAGGAAGTTGAATAAGCAGGTCTCATCAATGTGAAAACCGAACAAACAACCATTCTGATCAAGCACAGTGTATTCGCTCCTAGATTCACTACAGTAGGCGAAAGCATGATACTGCTTTAGTAATACTATCTATGCTGATTAAAGGAATTTAAACAGGCCAGAGCAACTGTTGTTATTACAAATCGTTGGTCATAAATTTTTAAGCCAAGAACCGCAACACTGCTGTCAAACCGAAACTTGAGAACTGAATTGGTAGAATGATAAAGTTGAAAAAAAAAAACAGCTAGTTAATATAAGCCTGCAAAATTACATGTAACTTTTTGTTTAACAAACTAGAAGGACGCAGTTGTAGTTGTACAGCACGAGTAAAAACTCCTAATAAGGATCAGATTTCTTTTTACATCAGTTGAACCATCGTGATGCTTACAGTTAGATTATGGCTGTTCGATTTGCACCGGCGACACCTGCATCATTAGGTACACCAATTAGATGACACCACAAACAAAAAGTTTAGCCTGAGATGTAAAACCGGCAGATGAAGCACGTTTTTCATGTCATCATTAGAGAGCTAACTGATAGGATGTGAAGGCACAATTTCTCCAACGTTCTACCAGCAGTGGATTTGGCTGTAACGATGATTTGTCAAAACAAAAACTATCGTACGACCCAGCTGCCGTCGGTTGGCAAAATATCAATTTTGATGTAACCACAGCCATGTTACGGTACGATGCCGCAATTGCTGCCGAGATGGTTAACGAGTATTTTTTGCCGTTTTGCCAGATTGAAACTGATAACAAAGTAAGATTTACTGTCAGTACTATTGATACATACAATGGATTTTTCAATTATTTATTTTATTATTTCTTTTTGATTACTTACTTGTCTAATTTCTTTGAACAGTGTTATTTCAGCAACGACTGTTTCGTAATTTCTTTGCCAATTTTATCCTTATCGAAAGAGCTTTCCTTACCTCTGTTTATTTCCCGTCTGAACACGATGACAGGTTAAAATTATCATTTCTTCCAGTTACACTTTACTATTTAAATGAAATATAGTCAACAATAAATTTACAAAATTGATAAAAGAAAAATTTTTTTATAAATAGTTATATGATGAAGCAGATTTAAAATTTCTTGTTTTAATTAACTAATTTTTGTTGGCTGAACACTTGTTTGGTTATTGAATATCTCTACATCAGCTATCATTTTTTGACCTTTGTAGAAGAGCAAGAATAAAAAGAAGATATTTGCTAATTACTGTTTAATCTATGAAATAGATTAAATTTATGTTTGATCGTGCTTAATAAATATAGCTCTTGCTTTTTATTGTTTCTGTAATTAGCAGTTCAGAATGTTAACCGATTTATGCTATAAATATACTGCAGGCAAGAAATTGCTTTTATAGGTTTGCTTTTTCTAACAATGCCTATTTCCACCTTGATGATCTTACAAAATACTTCAATTGTGATGCCCTAATTGCTCATCCTGCTGAAGCTGCAAAGTAATTTTTTTGGCACTAAAGAAAACTTAAAAAACAAAACCTATATTAAGTGCAAAGAAAAAGTTTATAAACTATTATTTTAGCAAATTTATTTATTCATTTATTTATCAGGATTTTCAAGCCAACATATGATGTATCACGACGGTGTTTAAAAAATCCTATGGCTGAAATGAAGTTTACTGAAGCTGAAATGGTTGGGTTGTTATATTTAAGCCTTTGGAATGAAGGTTAAATAAAATCCTTTTTTTTTTTTTTT